TATTAAGAAGTGCACCTCCTTGCATCCAGACCTGTACAAAATAGTAAGGATTTGTCTGGATGAGGAACAGAATCCGTGGTTCTATAAAGGTACTTCTTGCCTGATTCCAAAAGGTGTCCCAAGTAAAGACAGCGACCTGAGCCCAATAACTTGTTTGTCGAACCTTTACAAGTTAACAACGAAATGTGTGGCACACGTCATGCAGTTAGATGTTGCCATGAGGAAGCTGCTTGCAGACCATCAGTTAGGGACTGTTACCCAGGTTCAAGATGCGAAGGAACAAGCAATGTTGAACCTGGCCGTTTGCAAAGAGCACGGAAACCAGCTTTACATTACGTGGCATGACATTAAAAAAGCGTTAGATTCAGTTAATTATGAATACTTGATTAAGTGCATTGAAGGCTTAACATGCCATCGTGGATCAGCAGGTTTCTGAGAAGCATCGCCTCCAGATGGTCGGTTGCATTGAAAAGCATAGAGAAACAATAATGGAGAAGAAAATAGAACGAGGAATTCTCCAAGGTGATAGCCTTTTTCCGCTGCTATTCATCCTACGCATGGACGCGTTGAGCCGTCGGCTCAATATAAGATACCCAAGAATCATCTGTTGCTTGTGGATGATCACAAGATCTTTGTGACCGATGATAATATCTTGAAATCTATGGCAGAAGTTGAAAGGTTTCTTGATGTGGTAGGGCTAGAATTAAATTCAGTAAAGTCAGTCACTAATACTGAGGTATGCGCTCATAAAGCGGTGCTATTGGAAGGAACTCAAGGGTACAAATATCTTGAAGTAGTGGAAGACATGACTAGTGCACCTATCCGTGAAAGCTACGATAAAGTCCGTGCAGAGATTTTAGTGAGAACTGAACGGTTAGCCAAAACTGCACTAAATGACAAGAACTTTATCAAGGCGGTGACTGAGCATGCCATAAGTTTGACAAATTATTACATCGAGGTGTTCAAGCTGGAGCTCAAACTCAGCACATCCGAGTTGCTCGAGGGTCGATCATAAAGCAGAAAATGGAGAATAAATGGAGAAAAAAAAAATTGAACCTAGAATAATAAATGAAAACAAATAGAAAACAGGTGAGACTGTAAGGAAAAGTTCCATATAGGATATGGTAAAGCATTCGACCAGTATTCCGGAGCCAGCAGAACTGAGTGCCGGTTGAGTACAAGGAGAGTATGCCAAAACAGATTCAAAACAAGAGAATCAAGGACGTAGAATTGAAGATTCGGCAGATATCTTTGTCAAAATGATGTATTGTAAAAATCGCTATTTACAAAAAAAAAAACATCTTAAAATTTATGGCACTTAAGCATCATTCTAATTTTTCTAATACACGTTACGGTAAGCTCGAGAGATATTTAGTGGCCATCAGTGAGATTAAAAAAACCGACCTTTCCCAATATAACGTCGAATGTTCTATCATCAATAAATGGCCGATTTCCTTTATCAGGTATTGATGATCTTAGTTTTGAATATGTTAAATCACTGACTGCAAGTGCGGCGACAATTTCTTTTTTTAATTCACCTGTATCATTGCCCGAGGTATTCCATCGCACAACCACAATATCAAGAAGCAATCTGAATAATGCATGTAATATCACAACATACACTTTATATCAAATAAAACTCATTGAATCCTACACACGCGACCGATCTCTGGTTAGTTTTGACGAAATATTTCCTAATTATAACTGCGCAATGAGAAAATTGAAAAAAGTAGGATAACCTTAAACCACCATCAACAAGAAAATCCACCCATTCTTTGCGAGTAATTACTCGTTCTTTAGAAGGAATAAGAATATGATCATAAGAAAGGAAGCCACAGAAAGCAAAACAATTGTCTAGATAAAAAGCTTTCATGATAGCTTCCATTAACCACTCTGTATCAATAAAGCAAGCAACAAATCTGAAATAAATAAATGAATAATCGAATCATTAAATCATATATATATATAATACATATCAACCGCAAAGAAAGACAAAAGAATAACAGTGAACTGCTACTATTTGAAAATTTGTTCAAAACATCACGACATAAAAACTTCTATTTTTTGTCACTTAACTGCAAAGATTTTACCTTATCAAAGATAAATCACATTCCATAAATGCGATATTGTAAGTTGTTTGTGCATAATAAAAAGATTGATTCCTAGCTGCATGTCCATTTCTTGCCCACATACCAGCTGATGTTTCAGCACGACATGCCTGGATGAAAATTCATAAAAATTCATGACACAATTTTGATGATTAATATGACTCATACTTACCTATTCTTGAAAACTATGGTTAAAGAGAAAACAAAGCATTTTTTTTAAAACTTTTCTTGCTGCTTTTAAGGTAAAAAGTCGAAAAAATTGAAAAGTTTGTTGCAATATTACTTGTATTCTAAGAGGATGCAAAAGAGCTTTGCGAAGAAATTCTTCATTTTTGGCAAGATGATTCAAGCAAGAAGAAAACTGAGACAATTCGATACTTCGCAAAATACCAGCAGATAAATGCCTATGTAAAGGAATATGATAGCTGACACAATATGGTGGAACAGATAAATCGTGGTCTGTCAAGCCAATTGCATCGAACCATTTCTATAAATATTCTGTTACACAATTGCGCAATCATACCGTTGTTAACAGTAATTTAATTTGAAAAAGTAATCTAAATGTATAATCAAGATAAAAATGACATGAAACTTCAGTTAGCAAACACTGAATACAATATGAGAAAATTAAGTGGTACGAACAAGTTTTGGACTTTTTTAAAGATCTAAGGCCGCGTTCAATAAACAGTTATAATCAATAGATTGAAAACTTGATAAAATGCAAACCTCTAAAGCAACTTTCCACTGCAGAAGATAAACGATCATGTAATCGACCTCAGTCGTCAGTGCTGAGAGTATATTGAACATATTTATTGAAGAAACCTCCCATTCAAAATGAAAAGCGAGCTGAAAAAAATTCAACAATACTGCATTAGAAATGAATCTAATACATAAATGAACGAAAAACAAAAAACTGAAAGGCTACGAAAAGGCAGGACAACCTGGTATGGTTGATTGTCATATTCAAGATGGTCACCGGTAATTATTCGATAGTTCAGATTCATTCCTAAATTTGTTAAAGCTATTTAATAGAGCAAAACATTATAAAAAAACAAAGTCTAACGAAACTTTCATACACATCAGTAGATTCAAATATGTACTTAGCACTTTTTTTAGTAAACATGTTTATTTGATCAAACCATTTTACTAAAATCAAGATATTTTCTATGGAACTCATTTTGAGTCAAGAGCACCTAATGATGCACTTTGAAAAAAAAACCTTGCATAGGAGCAATTAAATCCACATAGCCCCGCATACATCTTGAGTCGAACAAAAACCTTCGAGCGAGTTCTCCATGAGTCAGCAAATTTTGCAAATCACTCATGAACGTCCAGAACGATGTTCTTCGTAATGGTTGATTTGCATCTACAGAATATACAAGCCATTTGAATAGTCTGTCGTCGTCAGTGGAAGGTGGTGAGCATTCGTAAAAATAGTCTTTCGCTGGAAAACAAAGCAATAAATGCATTAGTAAACCACGATGTGGTCTATATTGTATATAAATATTTAATTATTTCTATAAGAGCAATTAAACCCACATAATACATAATAAATCTTGATTTGCCAACTCATACGCAGGCTTATTTATAGATTTACTGTATTTTAATAAAAATTGAGCCTCTTAGACTCTGCGTTATATTAAAATCAAGTATTCACAGCATTGAAAAATAAGATGAAAAAACCCCGATATGAAATCATAAATGAAAACAATGAGAAAGCAGGTTGTGAAAAGCTCCATGAAGAAATTGAGGACTATGCCAGTGTACCGGAAACCAGCAAAAAACCAGCAGGATGATTATGGTTGAAGTACTCCTTCGAAGAATCGAGATTCCATAAAGCAGCTGGTCAGGAGAAGTGCTAGAGGCAGTTTCGAGGAAAAGGCGAGAGAAGGATGGCAGCAAATGTGTTGTTCCCTGAACAGCAAGAATATCGTGCGTGCAATTATCCCACAAAAACTTAATAATCAAGCAAATTCTGTGATCACCAGTATGGCAGGTTATCTGTGTTCGTTCACAGGAGCCGTTATTGGGGTTAATGAAGCGTGTCAAGATATAAGACACTTCGAGGAAAATAAGCTACAAAATTGTAAAACTTATCAAGATACAAAGGAGAAATAACTGATGCTGACGCAAGAAGCCCAGAGACGTAAAATGAACGTGAAATAAAGCCGATGCAGAAAATAACAACGGAAAGCGCTGAACCACTTATACTTGGACTTGTGCACCAAATACGCCAAACACAATCCTCTATCCCCTCAAATCAGCGACCGATATTGCAAGACAGCACCAAGTGGCACAATAATGCTATGAATATATGACAAGACGGGAGATGAAACAACTGCAGTGGAAGGCAAGTACAGAAAAAAGTTTGAATAACTTTCACAAGAGCCTGATAAAGTGGTATTTGTCAAATTCTTAAATGTAAAAAACCCGAAGGAGGCCAAAAACTGTATGAGGAGCATGAATCTCAAAAGTAACATAAAAAGTTATGGCCTCGATGTGACTCAAAATAGAAAACGCCAGATTCGAGTTGTTCAGAAGGCGGTTTTATTGAACACTAATTGAGGTACAACCTGTTAGCCACCATGTAGAGGCAGAAGAAATCAGAGAGTTCTGGACCACGATGTGGAACTTGAATATGGGAGACGATGATAATCGGCACAATGAATATCTAAAAGAATACGCTCCAGACTCTGAATTGCATGATACTTTCTCCTCTGAAGCCCAATTCGGGAAAATAGTTTCTTATATGCTCAATTGGAAGGCGACGATCCCTGATGAAATGTACAACTTCATTAAAAAGTGTACCTTTTTACATCCAGATTAGTACAAAATAACTAGACGGATTTGCTTGGAAGGGGAGGAACAAGACCCATAGTTACACATTTTCGTACGTGATGAGTTCAGATGGGATAGTGACAAATTTTCATAAATGTTGCGCTGAGAAAATCAATGTATCTAATCACGTCGAGGCATACATCAATTCCATAGTGCCCAAGAAAATGCTAGAAAGCATCTCATTCGATCAACGCCGTTGATTCGATGAAGACGAAGCGGCGGAGATCAACACAAGAAATCTGAATGTTGGGCAGCGTCGAAATATAATCGAACGCCAAAACCGATAAAGCGGAAAAGAAGGCTAACCTCCATATTATTTATATGGAAGCTGAAGCAATAGCCTTCATTTGTATACACTTTTATAATTTAAATTATATGAGATAAAACTAAAACCTCACCTTGAGTTATGGTGGACTTCTGAACACCAGTTTTTAGAACGCAACATGCACTTGAAATTATTTTATATCTGAGGTCAATTTCATTATCCAACATGATACATTGAGCTTCGCTAGAGAGGATCTGTGATAAAATGCAATTCAAATAAAAACATCTACCTTAACTTATGAAAAAAAGAACCGAAAAACTGAACTTTTTCAGTTATCAACGAACTACCCTTTGTTAATAATAAAATTATAATGATCTCGGGGCTAATTGTTCTATTCATACGAATAATAAAACAATTAACCTGCACAGAAATATGTACGATACGACTCCCAGCACCATATACAGTGTGGTCATCTTCCTGACTTGATAATTCAACTATGATCTCAGCTATACATAAATACCACGAGAAAAAACGTCGTGCGAAAATATCCTGGAAATTTTCAACCTTGATCATCATAATAATAGATAAAATAATTGCACAATTAAGATTTGACAAATTAATCTTCATTTTAGATTAAAAAAAGACAACTTCTAGTTATTATGATAAACGAAACAAATATTTGACCCTGTACTCGACATCCGACAGCAAACTTAAGCACAAATTGACTATGACTTGAGGAAATATCAATCGAACCATCCAAAATATCAACTCGTCTAATAAACATTCTAGTTCATAACAGGTATTATTGTCACTCGACTCAGTAGTCGTAACTGGCTTCAAAGACTCGATATCTTCCAGAAGAAGATGACGAGTTCGCCAGTCTAAGGAGAGATCATGTACTCGATCAGAATCTGAGAATTTAAGTGTGCTTTAAGATGAGACAGTTTTACTAATTTTCTTTACTTTTTGCAATTGCTGAACATATGTTCGAATTTTGGAGTGAAAGAATCAATCGTACATAAATAGTAAACGTGCACATAGAACAAAAAAGAGATGGAAAACAATCTTGCTCTGGAGCTTAGATATTCATATCCTTAGGTCAGTTCGAATACCAGTTTTTTTTTTAATTACAGAACTAAATGTACTTAAAAATAAAAACTGTAGACACAAAAAATGTGCACTAACTTTTCGTATGATCCACATTACTATGTTTGTTAAGATCTTTGTATAGCTGACGATCCAGCAAATTTTTGACAAGAACATCGCGGATAGGTCCACCATAGTCAATCAACTCCTAAACAGTAAGCTCGAAAATGCTTACTGCTGGCAAGAAAATACTCAAAATTCAACTTTTCTGTTAGTCGAACATGAAAAAACTTCACACTAAATGATTTATATACTAATGAATCATTAAGTGGTAAATCTTTTCACGTCCCTAACAACATTACATGGACGAAACTACTATAACAAAGTTGAAAAATCTGCAAAGACAGGACCAATCCGCACAATTAACTATCTTGAAATGAACATCAGCAATACATTTGATATATTTTCAGATAATAAACAAATTCTAATGGAGTCAATACAACGTGACTGAGAGACAAATATGAATAGCAAACTAGAGTAATAAAGATGAAAGAATAATCACATGCAACTCGAATATAATTAGTCACATTAAATTATAATATAAATTGATAGCATGAAACAACCTGAATAAACTCAATCAAAATATGAGCCCGACTAACAAGTTGAAGTCCAAAAATCTCTTTACTAGCACCGCTCCGCAATACCCTGTACTCCTTGGTCTATAAAGAACAAAATTGAAAAGTACTAAAAACAAGTAAAAATGATGAGTTTAATGTTCTACAAAACTGCATAAATCATATGTTACGAGAAATAATTTTTCATTTCAATTCTGATTTTTCAGGTTTACGGAATTTAAAAAAGTAAAACCAGTTCTTGCCGTTGCATAATTAGAAACTGTGTCCAACTGCTGACTTACCCAACCTCGAAAATACAGAAAGAGCCTGACAAAAAGCTTTGGAATAATAAATTCTCCCAACGAAACAATATCAGAAGAAGGAACAGGTGGACGACGCGCATTTGGCCCGTGTCGGAAACAGAATCTACAAAAAATGGCTGTCATGCTGACCACATTTTAGAAAGATTAGCAACAATGTATTTCAAAAAGTACCCTGATTCATTTAAGACATCTACGTTTCCGCAATCACAAGCACCACCGGAATGCGAAAAAAACCTATTAAAATCATGCCCTTCATGATTTGAATGCTTGAAACAGCTGGAACAAAGAGACATGCCTGTAAACGATAATTTTTTTAAATAATCATAACAATTGCTAGTCAGAATCTGACAGTTAGATTTAAACTGCGTTATCACACTTTTAAAATTTTAAGGAACCAATAAACATGCATGGATTAAAAGCACAGGTATTGCAACGATAAGCAACAGCATCAGACGACCAAACTGCATTACATTTGATTGAGAAATCGTATTCCTCCACTGTAACTTATCAAATATGAATAATCAATGAAGACAAATATTTGATCCTTTAGTCCAAATTAAGTACTCCTCCACAACGTGAAGTTTTGATTATTCACACTAAGCAGATGCTTATCTCCTATACTTTTTGGCTCATAGAGCGATAGATTATTTCTAAACAGTATGAAACGAGAATTTACCATCAAATTAACAGTTTAACAAACTAACAATCTTCACAATCCAATAAGCGAATATCATTGGTACGTAAGCTGTACCCTAATTTAGAAAAGTTTTTTTTGATCAACTTAAAAACATTTTTTAAGCACAATAACAATCATTACTTTTCTTTTTGAACGTTTCAACTGTTTGTCCCTGAGCCATCAATATGCGTAGCTCATCACGAGTTCCACTTTCGAATGGATCTGTTGCTGACCCACCAATTAAATTATTGAGGAAGGTATCTAATTCGTCAGCTTTTGTCCTTAATACGAAATGATTACATTGAGATCATAAGTTTCAATTACCTCCAGAAATTGCGAATCCTTCAGCAAATTATGACAAATTAAAATTTCTTATCAATCATAAAGCTTCCCGAATAAATTAGTAAATGAAAACTGATTCAAGAAACTGTTACAATTTGTAAATTTTTCTAATACGCTGCAATAAACTCTACCTTATATGTTCTGGTAATTCATCACAAAATCTACCACCAAACAGAGGGCACCCTGCTGCTTTCAGTTCATCGCATATGTTTTTCAATTTTCTTGCTTGCTCCATGGTTTCATCCTACATTTATATGTATCAAACTAAGGAACTGAATACTAACTACAATGAACGATGTTGCCATTGCATATATTTCGATTTTTTCTTTTTTTCACTGACTTATTAGAGAGTAAAAATAAATTTTCTTGTAATATGCACATTCTCTTTAAATAATTTTAGTTTCATTTCAAAAAATCAGTTGTACTCCGAATTCTATTCAAAAACATTAATCATTGACAGTCTCTCAATGACACAAAGACTGCATAGAGTTTCATTACGAGAGGAAAGTTTGCGCAACTCTACGCAATATCCGAAATTCAATTTATTCATTCTTCAGCACTTTATAATCTCATACACAAAATATTTTCAGAGACTACCACATTACATTGCACACGCAGTGATACTTTATAATTAAATTGTTTCCAATTGAAATTTAAATACAAACAGTTTAAAACTATTACTGAATAATCAGCGATGTCAAAAATACAAATATTTTTCATACCTATTTGAAATTTTATAGTAAAATCATTCAAACCTCATCAGATTTGACCACTCCATCACTCGAACCATTACTTAGTGTTACTGCCCCATTTGATGAATTACGAGGCATCGCTACCTTTAATAGTTGGAAATGTAGTTAACCGTTATGTACAAAGAACGATTAAAAATTTTGACAAATTAAAAAAACCAAAATCTTATGTGATTGACAAAACTGATGAAGGCTAAAAATAATGCAACCGCTTTCTACAGCAATAAGTGACCAAATCGAATGCGTTTAAACTAAAATAACTTTTTAAATTTTAGAGATATACTACTGAATTCAACATACTTTTCATAAATCATGAATCTACAACATAATATAAATGCTTCCAGTGAGATTATTTCACGTTAAGATGGTAAGTTTCATGAAGTATCTAGCAATAGAAGTTGGGAAATTTTGTGACTGTCTGAAATGTTTCATTTTCACTTCTTGCTTCATTATTCAGTTGCGAAATAGCGAGCGATATCTAATCTTACCAAATAAATCTATACCACACGGCTACCTATACTCACTTACACTATGGAACTGTAAAAAGAAAAACTGAATGATTGGACTGTATTATTTTAAACGAAAATGCCATCATCTTGAAATTTGTGATCACGTAGAGGTTCCTGCAATATTTTCCAGTGCATGAGAAAGAACAGGTAGGTAGGTACTTTCGAAAGAACGCCTAACTAGGCACTACTACGATTTCGCAATCGCATAAAAATGAAAACCATAAAAGATTATACAGGAACTACATGTCCAGATAAAACAGTTGATCTTACTCATATTTCACAACTTGATAACAAAAAAAGACCAGGGCTGAGTTTTACATCGACAGATAACTTGCTACCACAAATTAAATTAGATATACGTTAGAGTCGCGTATATTTGAATCCTTAATAAACTCCTCAGTATCTATAACGAATATATTGAACTCACGCAATCGGATTTACTGAGACTTCGACAATGTTTCGTAACCAAATGATAATATAAATGATCAATCTGTGGATACTAGAAAATGGATAACTTGTTACCACCAACACATCCACCACACACGCACACTTCAAGATGGCATATATTTGAAATGATAAAAACCATAGCATTTCAGATATTAAAATATTGTCCAGGAATTTACAATTTCATATAAGATCTGGTAATATTAGCCACTAATTTGATATGCAAATTCATATTTAATGAGAATAAGGTGGAGTTTATGTCATTATGAGTGAAAAAGTCAACGAAATAAAAGAGGCTAGTAGATAGAAGGGAAAAAAAGGCAGCGAGGAGAAAGAAACGTGAGGAATTGACAATAATTTCCACCGTTGGGTTGTTTTCAGCGTTAACTCATTGAGTTGGTGAGGCTAAAATTGACTTGCTAGTTAGTATTCACTGAGGGATGTTTGACACGTAGTGCTTCTGATCTTTTTGGTATGATAGTACAGGCTACATCACTTTTTCATGAAAATACGTGGAGTAGAAATGTTGGTTGGTTACGTATGCAGTAATTTTTTCATTCCCATCACATTATGATGATGCATAGTTTCTTAATATGTGAACATTTATCATTTCTTATTCGATTTAAAATGTGAATGAGATGTTTTTAGCGAAGATTTTTTTGATTGCATGAGAATGTTATCATTTCTTTGAATTCCATCATATATTACGTATTACAAGTGTCAGGTATGGAAGGTCGAAAAGTCTCGCCAGTAAGATCCTCGATTACGAAGTCACCACCTGTTCAATCAAGTTATACTACTCTTTCCCTCGAGGTTAGATATAAATTTTAGTCAGAAAACATGCTTTCATACTTGCTGTTGAATGTTTGACTGATGAAATGTTTTTTATGGTTACTTCAATCATTCCTATGTGCAGGAAGGTGATGGACGACTTTTTAAAATAGATGTGGACTTCAAGGAACGAGTAGATGAGGCTCTACCCAAAGCTGATGAGTTATTGGAGGTTATTTAGCGTTTATAATTCTTTATTTTGAACTAGAATGACTCAAATTCATCTCAGTAACTAACAAAAAAGTTAAACACACACTATACCTAGTGAATTTTATCTTTTGTGTTGATCAGTAAAAACTATTTCTATGAAAAACTTTCGTTGTCTCAAATATTTTATCAACATTGATTCTGTTGACAAACTTTTAATTAAGAAGAGTTTTGTTGGTAATGATAGAACAGCAAACAAATTTTGTTGGAAAGATAGAATTTCTAGTAAATCATTAGATTCACGTTTTCATTATAACAATATCAGTAAAAGTAATGCCTTCTTACAGAGATATGGTTTGGCAGTAGCATTAGAATCATTATCAAGCTTAGAAAAGTATACCAGACTTGGCTTAGATATTAATTCAAATATTCGTGTTATCCAGTACATGGTTAAATTATGCTTCGAGAATAATAACTGGACGTTACTGAATGATACAATTGTAGCGCTGTCTAAGAAGCGTTCACTTATTAAACAAGCAATTGCTATAATGGTTTGCATCTAACTCTTCATTTTCATCAAAGACCATTTAGTGTTTTTAACTTTCTGGAAAAGAATAATCATTGAAGCGTTCTGTGCGTTTTATTTCAAGTTGTTTTTGACAAAACATTTAGTGGGTAGTTGCTTAAGGTACGTGATTGTTGCGAAATGATTGACAAAACACCAAATGAAGAGGTTCGGAGTCAGCTTATAAAAACTCTTCGGAATATTACAGCAGGAAAGGTCAGTTTTGCAGTGGTAATTTTTAGTTTTTTGTGAAATTTATAACAAACAAGTGTATAGTATAAAATGGAAATTTGTAAAATTTTTTCCTCTAATTTTTCGGTAACTGATAAATTAACTATCAGTCATCATAATATTTTCGTCAGTATAGATATACGTTGAAGTTGAACGAGCTCGGCTTACTAGTCGTGTTGTTAAGAATTTGGAACAAGAAGGTAAAATTGATGAAGCAGTAACAATGCTTCTAGAACTGCAAGTAGAAACATATGGTTCAATGGAATTACGCGAAAAAGTTAGTTTTTAGTTTTTGTTCATGAGTCTATTTATTTCTGGACTCAAAGTGTAGATTATTCTTGTTTTTAGGTCGAATTCATTTTGGAGCAAATGCGACTATGTGTGCTGAAAAAGGATTTTATCCGCGCGTCTATTTTATCCAAAAAAATTTCAACTCGTTTTTTCACGGATCAGTCGGAAGAAGTTTGATGATTTTCAGTACTCTCATTTCAGGATTAATATCATTCATCTTCGAAATTTTATGACTTCATTTCAGCCAGATGAAATATGTATAGAGTGAACAAGTTGTTGGAATGCGTCGTATTTTTCGTTTATGGAGACACTGAAAGTCACGAAAAGAATCCATTTATTTTGCTTTTTTTATAATTGTAAAGAGGATAACTTTATTTGTGAACTATTTTTGTTTGATAGTTTAAAAATTAATATTCAGGTGCAAGAATTGAAGTTAAAGTATTACGATCTAATGATAAAAATTGGTTTACACGAAAGCGCTTATTTGGATATATGCCGGTATTATTGGGAAATTCTAGATTCACCCTGTGTGTGCAATAATACTGAAAAAACAAAGCAGGTTAGCATCTATGGAAGCAGTATGGTTTTTAAAAATTTATATTCGAGATTATTTTTTGTGTGATTTTTTCAGACTTTAAAATGCATTGTACTTTACGTATTGCTTGCTCCACACAGCAATGAGCAGTCGGATTTGTTGCATCGTATTCGAAAAGGTCGGCAACTAGAGGTCGTTCCAGAATATAATTCATTTCTTGAATTATTCATTAATCAAGAACTGATTTCATGGAAAGTATGTTCCTGTTCTATTTCATTAGTCTCATGTTCCTCATACTTGATTACATTGGAAATATGATTCGTCGTTACATTATCATTTGTTTGTAGCGGATAATGTTTTCTTCAGGGAACAATAAGTAAATATGAAAAATTATTGCGTGATGGGACTGTGACGAACAAAGCAACTGATGTACTCAGTCGTAACGAAAGTGGTGACAAACATTGGTCTGATTTGCATGCTCGTGTTGGAGAACATGTAAGTTCGTGGTATAGTGTCTGTGAGTGAAGATGTCCATAAAACTTGAGTTTATTGAAAAATACATGAACCTTCATACTTTCCTTTCTTATAAACATAAATATGTGCGGGCAGTGAAGGGCCTCTTTGTTTACATTTGTTATGCATTTGCTATCGTAATTTAAACCGTATACTACGCATATTTCATATTTCAGAATATGCGTATGATCGCCAAATACTATACAAAGATTACTTTCGATCGTATGGCTGAGTTACTCGATTATCCTGTTGAGGTAGATTACCTTAGTTTAGAGTGTTGAACTAATTAGTCCACGTAAGTTTCACTGCATTGAACCGCTAGCTTGAAATCAACGATTTGGATGATTTAATTGCATTGTAACAAGAATATGGAATATCGTATCCTAATTCCAGTGAAAGCATTCTATCATTTCGTTTTCATTCTGTCTATACTTTCTGTAACACTTAAATAATTTGAGGAAATGGAAAATTTTCTGTGCAAACTTATCGTAACTGGAGCGATCCCAGACGCGAAGATTCATCGACCAGCAAAGGTCGTCAATTTACGGGCTCGTAAAGCAAATATTGAACAGCTAGACCAGTGGGCTAGTTCGGTACGGAAACTCACAGACATTTTAAATAAGGTAAGTACTACATTACTGCGGTCTTTTTGTCCTGTTATTGTCGTGTTTTATATGCTAATTCAGTGAAAAATTTAAATTCCTAATTTTGAACTCATTCTATGTACTTTTCTTTTTGGATTCTGTAGTGATTTCGTGATTGTAGGTGACACACTTAATTTGCAAAGAAGAAATGGTTCATCGGCATTTAGAAGATAGTTCAACTACCGTTCGTTAATTAATTCTTGCATTGTCTCGTACGTGATTTTACTAATTCTAAGATGACTTCGAGATGCGGAATATATTAATTCCTCATCTCATTTTATGAAAGGTCAGGTTGATCATCTTAATATTAGCCACTCATTATAATGCCTTTTTGTTGAGCTTATATGTCATGGTTTATGCTCATTATGTGTTTTACAATATAAGTCAAAGCGGATAAACTTCTTTTAAATTGTTGCTGTTTGATTGTAGAATGTTCAATAAAGACAGTTGTTTTGACAGGACTTTTATTTTCTGGGCTAAGAACTTTATGGAGTGGTTGTAAATTGTATCATTTTGGATGGTATTCAGGCATGTCAGTTGGTACTCCATCTAGTGTATTGTCGAATATTACTGATTCCGACTGGCCGCTGACTGATGCCTTACTCTCCGATGTGTCACTCTGAGTATATTCCGCAATGAATGAGTTGTGGAACTGTGGCTGGACCTAAACGTTAACCATATTTAGGATTAATCATCATTCTTGATTCCCAAGATTCAGTCTGTAGTTGTCAGACAAATATCTATTTCTGATCATAATACTATTTTTTGATGATAAAGATGGGGATAAGTCTATTGTCATTTAACATTTTAAATTTCTAAAGAAGTCTTGTTTTAAGTTCAAGTTTGAAAAACACATGGTATGATTAGGCTTGATAAGACTAGAAAAAAGTAAGGTTCAAGATTCCTTGTTTACTTCATCTGATTCCTCTTGCTTGACATCATTCGTCTCACTCCTCCTGGAAATCATAATTGTAGACATAGCTTTTTTTCCTTGTACACTGATTAAAACTTGCAAAAAGAAAGTTTCTAGAAATCTGTTTGCAGTAACCATTACTTTTCATCAGATTCAATTTTTCGAGCATCTGCTACTATGAAATCGGCAGTTGGTTTTCTACTTTTGTTTTTCGCATGTCTTTTGTCTGTGCCCTGTAGCAATTACACATTTTTAATATGGGATAAACATATATGAATTGTAGTTTCTTCTTTTCATAAATTTTGACTAGATCTGAGAGAATTGTTGCAGTAAGTCAAAAACGAAAACTAAAGGTATGCCCGCAGCATCAATGCTCGATGTTAATTTGGATAAGTGTAAAACAGGTTTTCTTGTTTTGTCTGTATTTGTTCTGATTGCTTATTCTTTCCAATGAGATGTAGATGTGTTTTTTAGGTTAGTAGTGGAAACGATTTCTTAAATTTGGAATACAAGATAACATTTGCATAAGTCGAACAAGATTAAGAATATTGACCAGAATATAAATTCGAATGCGTTGACCTTATTATGATTTATCATGAAAAGAATGTGATACAAGCAAATTATAATACAGTAATAATTTTACTTTTGGTGTAGAATTATTGCAAGCATTGGAAGTATGAAGCAGGCGACCAGTACAGATATTGCACTGATTATATTTACTAGTAGGGGAGATTGCTGGTACTGTGCTATACTTGACTGAATGCAGTACAACAAAAATCATTTCTAAGCTATGGTACTCCATGTCCCGTACTGTCTTTACAACTAATACAACCTGATGTGAAATTCCGTCGTTATGTCCTACTTTTGTTTCCTCCTTCTCATCAAGAGTCTTCGTCTTGCGGTTTTGCTGTTTGTTTCTGCCGTTTTTAGCTTTTTCCTTTGTACGAAAGCACATCAGTTCTCAGTTATCAGCTTCAATCTTCACGTCATGTAAATATCGAGTTCTATTTGAATTATTTGCTAATTTTTTTTGCTTTAATTTAGTAAGATCAGATTATTTGTAGATGTTTTTCTATCTACTTAACAATGTTTCATTACTTCAAGTGAAAAACAGTATAAATATATTCCTTCATGTGACAGGTAATTCACACGTAGTATAAGATAAAAGTCCGATTTCAATTCATTTTATAATTGCTATAAAAGTAGAATTCAAAACTACGCGGAAAGAATTGTAAACTTCAAGCGATCAACCACTCCAGATTAAGTATCTTAGTGAAAGTACTCATTCTTAGTAATTATTGACAATTTATACGAGCCTTTCAGTCATTTGATTTTTGCATAAATTAACTCTTTGCACTTGGCATATTTTAAGAATTCACTTACGTAGAAAGATTGTATTTAAAGCATTACTTTACATATTTAACTTGCAAGAAATTAACTTAATTGTTATTATTCGCAATTTGTTGTAAAAGTTACGCCATTTAAGATTTCTTTGCAAATCGCAACTGATTATATAAGTAGGCCAAATGGCGGTAGTGATATATTTATGATAAAATCTTGAACACTTTACATACCTATTTGGATACTTTACCTTATACAAGCATTTCTTTGCACTTTCTACGCTTCAAAACATTGGAAATCTCTCAGGCATGTATTGCAATTGGAATCTATGGTTTTTTCAATGGCTTATTTTTAAGCTCATTAATTTTGAAGCAGATCATTCATTAACTGATAATTATAAAGTGTACAGCTACTCACTCGCATGTCTTGTTATTGTAAATACTTTTATTCCCTTTTTAATTATACACAACAAATTAATATGCTAGTGAACGACTCATTATAGTTGTTAGTCATGATCTGAAATCATTTACCACTTACTGTAAATATCCAAGATTAATAGTATTGAAAACTCATGGCAAAAACTGAGTCAACGATAATTAATTCTTCCTTTTATGGAAAGTGACTTACTGTAAAGAAATACTTATTTTAGGCAGTTAAAAGCAGTGAATCTTGATGCTATGGTAATTGTACATTATCAGTACAAGTATAACATAGCGTAATCTGAAACACAAGCACTTAGTAATGTAATCATTTAATTACTTCAAAATTTACTCCCCAAAGCAATTTAATATTTACCACTGCTCAAAAAGATTTGAAAATTTTGATGTTTTAAGTAATTAAGCCAAAAATTTGTTAAATAATGATAAGTATAAAGCAACAAAAATAAACTGTTAAATTTCTTAGTTTAGCCTTTCATACTTAATTTACATTTTGAGCTAAAGTAAAGCTGAAAAGAGTGTCAACAATGACATTTAACACTTAGTCTTGAATACAATTTGTCATAAGCGAATAACTTCAGGTGTACACCGAGTTACTAGCATATTTGCCGAAATCTATAGCAACTTCTGACAATTATTATAATTGCGATTTTTTTTTTCTTGAACAAGAAGGTTATTGTAGAGCGATAATCACCTTGAACCTAAATTAAATTACAAATCACTCTAACGCTACTCTGTTAAGAAAGTGCTGGAAAAAAACTATTTGAACTTATACTCATAACTTTAAGTAAAACAGTGCGACGTAATTTCACAGTTACCAATATGAACAGCATTCAACATGTAGTGAAGTAAGCTACTAAATAATGTGATCAAAACGAATCGTTGTTTTTTTTTTTTTGCTAAATGCATTGTTATGTCATTTTTATTTTTTCATGAAGCTTTGGAGAAATCCTCTCCATGCCTGTAACTTTGGTACTGACTTTTTGTGCAAATTGTTGATCATATCATTTTGTAATTTTTCATTTTTTAACTTCTCACGCTTGAAAATTTACTGAAGAAGTGTACAAATAAGAATTATAGACTTAAGCAAAAGAATTGCAGTAAGTTAGCATGAGAAAAAAATTGAGCATTTTAATGAGTTTTTTGAACAAAGAATGTTTATGAAGTTTTCAGCTACTTGTCATCAAATTGATGTTTTCAGAAAAAATTTTCGAATTTAAAACTTAATTATTATAAATTTTCCCATAATTATTGGGCAAATACACGAATAAACAAATATTGGTAGTACTTGCTGCATGCATACTCAAAATTTTCAACTCAATGATAATTATTATAAGTAATAATAATGAGATATGCTGGTATACTTTGGTGCTACTTCCAAATTAATGTAATATTTGTCATCAATTAAAAGAAGCTAAGAGCATATCAAAAATTTAAATGAAAAGTGTCATTTATACAAATGTGAAAAAAAAATACAATTCCATTCATATTGCGTTAATTTTATAGTTTATTTATTTTAAAAATGAATCTTTTTCAAAATTTCATATTAAAAGCAATTGGTGTTTAGTATAAAATGAATGATTGATAGTGTACAAAAAAATAATTAATTACAATTGAATTTTATGCATATTAATGCTTCTTTGTACCTAAATAATAATAATCCTTTAACTAATTTAATGTTGTATATTTTTTAATAAGATAAATGCAACAATCAAATAGCAATTCGATTATTTAGTTAAATAAATACATACTCGCAGTTGATTTTGATTTGCTTTTATGCTTTGTGAATAAAAGCATCATTTATGATTTTTGATTAATTCATGGAAAATTTACTGCAAAAATTATTTAAAATAGCTGCCAGGCATAAAATTATTTTAAGCACTTAACTGTCTGAGAAAAAATCTGAATAAGCTGATGGAATTTATTTATACAAAAAAATCACATAATATTTTTGAGCATTTTATTCTCAGTACGTAATGTTTTATTCGTGTAGTGTTATAACGTTACAAACTAAGAATAAATTATTAAATTGCGTTGTACTTTGTTTGCAGTTCTTAAAAAAATAGTTGTTTTGCTTTGGAAAAAAAAGGAACTAAAAAAACTTTAATAAATTTTAATTGACATAAACACTCAAAAATTACTGCTGAATTCTAGCAAAATTTACTATTTATTTATGCATTGAAAAAAAACAAAGATAATCTGATGTGAGAAAAAGTATAATTATGGTATGGACAAGCAATTTCTCAAAACTTCTTGCTTATTTGACTTTTTGTCAAAAGCAAATATTATAAAAAATAAAATTAATGTGTAATTTTGACAAATTTTTGAAAGTTTTAAAAAGTGAGTAATTTTTTTTTTTTGCGATGCTAAAGATTATTAAAAAAAAGCAGGCATAACACATAACGAGAATGACAGCTTGTGCATGGATTAGTATAATGCAAAAGGTTTAGCCTTCGTCAGTTAGGAAAAAGAGTTTGAAAAAAAATATCTTAAATCTTCTTGCCAGACAAATTGGCAGTCATCTAAATGTTATCATTTATCGCAGTCTTATGAATTACTCAAATTTGGAACAAATACAAATAACTTTTTTGTAATTTGATAATAAAGGTTAAAAACAAATTTTATTTAACGTTTATATTTTAATTTTTTCAATATTGTTGTTAGGTAATAAGTATTTGAACTATTTTTTTTTCTAAAAAATTATTATTAAATTTTAATTTAATAATAATTTTTCAGAAAAATTTCAGGAATCTGTTAAAAATTTTGTTTTTTTGATGCATTACTTGATTGTTTTTTAATTGTATAACTTTACTCATTAAGAACTAGAAAAATTGCTGTGATATTTATTATTAATCAAAAAGTTTATTATTAATCTTATTATTATTATTATTATTTTGCATTTTTTGTTTGGGTGATAAATAGGATGAAATGCGCTTGAACAATAATAAAAATATTAGCAATAATTAATGATGGTAAAAATAATTAATAAATAAAATCTATAATGATCCTTTTATGATCGCCAGAATAAGATTGCATAAAAAAGTTATTACGAACTAATTTTTTATCCTACTTGCGTGAAATTTATAAGCCCTTATATCAATCGAATTTTATAAAGCAAATTAAAAAAGAGTCAAAATAGACGAATTTTTCAAAATTTTCATTTAAATTTACACTATTTTTCAATATCCTAATTTTTATTGCACTTGCTGAAAAATTTGTAAAAATAACAGAAATATCACTGCCTGAAATTGCTGAAATAGGTGAAAAAAGCGTATTTACACAGGAATGAATGAATGATCAGTAAAATTTTGATAATTATTATAATGTGGACTTGATAAAATTTAATAATTTCTTAACATTGAAACTTACTTAGTTAATAATTAAGTGAATGAATAATCATTAATGTTTGAATTTTGCAAGTATTGAAACACTTTCTACCAAAAATAAAAATATTTTTAATTCACTTAGTTTTTTTTTGCTTAACAAAGCTAACAAACCAAGCATGCGTGTGTTTTGTGTATTTTTTTCATTTTCATCACAATGACCCAAATGTTATTCTTTTTTCTGCTCATTTTTATTTTTGAATTGAGTTGGAAGATGAAAAGGTTAGTTTCATAGTTATTTCCCTAAAAGACTTACTTTTTTACTCGTCCCAAGAGAAACTTCGGGCTCGTAATCTTTCAAATGCTTTTTACTTGTCGTTGATTCATACTACTTTGCGACATTCAAACTTTAGATTTAAAAAAATGCTAAAAAAAGTTAACGTTAAAGACTTACGAGTTGAGTCAAATTTTTGTCATTGATAAATACATTTTGTTTTCATTCATAATTTTACTGCAAAAAAAATTTTGTATTAAATTTGAAATAATTTTTAATTGAGAAAATTTCACATAAATCACACTTTTGTATCTATTTTAGCAAGAAGCAACCTTATGATGCATAAACTGTATCAAAATATTTAGCATTTTTTGCAATTTTGAATCGTACATTTTGTCAGTACTGAAAGTATCACTTGGCATTACTTTTTCGTTCAACAATCATTTGAAAATAAATAATAGTTCAGTATTTGAATATTTTTGAAAAACAGAAAATGCACTGATTAGAGAAAATAACAACGAGGGTAATTTTATTATCCACACATGATTGCATATTGCATGCCGTACAAAATCAGCATTCT